TCAGGTCTGCGCTTTACGACTGACCAGCAGTGTCTCTGACAATTTGCACCCAGGAATGAAAGTTTCCAGCCAAGTTACCAAGCCCCTGCCAAACAAAAGCAGTTAATAAAAACCCTTGCCATCCTTTTAAGGTGGCTGTGCCACAGAGCCCTGCGCCAAAAGGGGGACACGGACCACTGCTCCCCATCAAGGCAGTTTTCATAGGAAGCCTGGAAATCCTTGGCTACAAAGACAAGGAGTCTTTTGGGGTGCCCATAAGGAGCAATCAACAGCAAAACGGGCCCTGGTGCTGGCATGAGGCAGCCCCTGTGCTGAGCCAGCCCTGTCCTGGGGTCCCCAGGCTGGAGGACCCCCCAGCAGCAGCGAGCCTCTCCGTGAGGAAAACCAGCGCTGCTTGAAGCCTCGCTCAGCTTTTGCAATTAACAACGGTGCCATCACGTGCCAGCAGCTTGCACAGTTCATAAATCCACCTCTGATCATGTCTCTGGCCCTTCTCTTGACGGCCATCTCAGCCGAGCCCCCTGCCTGCTCAAGGGCGGCTGGGCTCAGCCATGCCCGAAGGAGATGGGTTTGTCCCCGCTGGCTCCCCGCCATCCCACTCATTCCCTGGCAGCAGTGGGGAGCAGCTGGTGCCAGGTGGGATGGGAACCCCCCCGTGCAACAGGAGGAACATCTTGGTTAAGCCAATATCCACTGGGGCCTGCACAGCACGGGGCCAAACCCTGCTCGCCCTCCTCGTGCCCCACTGCTTTGTCTCTCCCTGCAGCACACATCTGGGATGCACCAAAGCTGGGGGGTTTAATGCCCACACCATCACATAGATAGGTAATATGTTATTTATTATAAGGTTTTGTGGTTTGGGTATTTTTTTTTTTCTGATGGACCTCACTGCCACAGTCAGTAAATTTCTATAGTTTACTCAATAAGCTGCTGGAAGCCTTTTTTTGGAGCTGAGATATTTTTGTTCCCTGTCAAAGGGAACTGCTCTGTAGCATCCCTGCCCTGGGGCAGGAGCTGCTCTGCCAGGCTGGCAATTAAAACCGAGGGAAACCGGGGCGGCGGGAAGGAGACGCACAAGAAAAAGCTCACGATTCAGCTTACACTCCCAGTAATTTTCAGGGGGGGGAAAAAAAAAAAAAATCTTACTGATTTCATAGAGGAAAGGAAAGCCCAGTCCGGCTGTCTGAGCAGTCCAGATGAGAAAGCAGGGAGGAAAACGAGCACCAGGCTGCCCGGCCGGGGCTGGCTGCTGCCAGCTGGCACCACCAGCACGCCCCGCAAGCTGCTGACAGCACTGCACTTGTCTTCGCAGCTCCCTTCCCTGGACACCCAGAACTGTATTTCAGGAAATAAAGACAACTAATAATAGGGAAAAAAAAGAATCAAAAGGCAAATGGTCCAGGCAAGCACATCTCCACCCAGGGCTGGGGGCAACGCTGTCTCCACAGACCATGAAATGGGGTACAGGAGGGTAAAGAGATTTGTCACCAAGAGACGATCGGGTTTGCTCACTCCCAGGCTGCATCACACACTGTTCACATGCATCCTGGCTTTCATGTGTTACAAAGGAAGATGTTCAGCTCCTAAAAAAGCTCAGAGACATAAAAGGACCCTCCGGCATCAGTCACTTGCGAGTGATGTGCAGGAGAGGTGTGGGAGAGTCCTGCTGCCACCAGGTTTCCCACTGCCTGCACCATATGGCAAGGCGGGATAGAGAAATGCAAGACAACAGGGGAGTAAGGGGTTATGGGACCAGGAGCACAGAAAAATAGAATTTAAAAGTTCAGCCTGATGAGCCATAGCTCCTCCCAGCCACCCAAAGCCCAGGACCATCCACAGCAAGCGAAAGGGCACGTCCAAGCTTCCACCGAGCACCGACCTCACCAGATCCACTGAAAGTTCATTAGGGAGGTGAAAACTCCTGTTGTTTTCTGAAATTCATTTGATTACTGTGAAACAGAAGACACTAGCGAGGAGAGAGGGTTGTTTCTTAAGTAAGGATCCTGGAGGCTGGGGAGAAAGCTGGGGGCATTGCAAAACAAAGCCCCTATTAACTTTGGTCCCGACTTTCAGGTCGTGCATGTTCAGTTCTTTTTACCTGGAAATGAAGATATTAATTGGAGCTGACAGCTTTCATAGGTTTCCCCATTAGCAATATTTTTAGCCACAGTAGGGCCCAAGTTTTCAAATGCTTTCCCAAGGGAAGGTTTTAACCTTTCTTTTGAAACACCTCTTGCCACTTGCAGGGAAAAAAAGTTTTTTGGCTCGAGGCATACTGAGCCCCAGCTATGACAAACTCCTGGCTCCTCTGAATGGGGGACATGGGAGGAACAGGGAAAAGAAAGTGGGGAGAGGCAGCCCAAAGCCCGGAGCTGAGCTTGGCACCAGCAGGGCAGCTGCCCCTCCAGCCCCCTGACCCCCCGTCGGGTGACGGGCCTTGGGCACAGCCAAGCGAGGGGGCTCTGTGGGGGGTGCTGGTTCCACTCCCCTCCACCATGGAGATGAGCCCACACTTCAACACCGGCGCCGGGAGTCAGGCACGTCCCATGCCGCATGGACCCCAACCCTGCTGTTCTCCTGCCTGCAGCGGGCATGGGACCCATCCCTGGATGGTTTCTAGGGCAGCCAGCAAAATGGTGCCTCAAGCCCTTTTGCTGCCACAGGTCAGATCCCACACATCAACACAGTGTAGGCTTTTTGGATCCAAGAACATTTTTTTTTTTTTGCAGCTGTTTTTTTACATAGTTATCATCTATACGTAATTTACTGTTTTCAGATTAAGCAAGAGTCTTGAGAAGCCCCATTCAACACCGTTTCCTGCCCAGGACTGAAAATTATGCAACTTGCTTACTTTCCATATAAAGATACACATTTTATATATATATATAATCTATTTGAAACAATATATTTTTATTTATATGTATTATTCATTCATACATTATATTAAAATATGTTTTATATGTAAAAATACATAACCAGGGATGACAACATTTCCTTATTTTAGAAACCTGCTCCAACAAACACGTTCCACTTACAACACCACTGTTCTCCCCACCAAGCTTTGCAGTTTCCCTCCAAGTGGAAACGTATTTTAGCTGAAAGCCATGCTGACACCCAAGGAAGCAGCCGGACACTCCCAGCGGAGTCTCAGTTATTTACCTCACTGTATCCAGTGCAATCACTCTGGAAAGTCTTAGTTTTGAAATTTCATGTCTCTAAGATGGTGACATCAAGGGAGACCAGGCAGCTTTATGAGGATGCTTTCACTCATCTTTGCAGGCAGCAGCTGAGACTGGGCAGCCCAGAGCTGGCCCAGCTGCTTTGGTGCTGTGAGAGCCCAGGGCTTTGCCAGAGCAGGGACAACAGGGGACACATCACTGCCAGGAGAGGCCAAGGGGCCAGAGGGCAGGCAGCCCCCTGTGCACAGGACCGGGGCAAGGGGTGGGGGTGTCACCCTGCAGAGAGCACTGGATTTATTTTATTTGACTGAGTCCAGTAGTGCCCTTGCAGCCATGTCCCCTGAAGGGGAAGCATGGTTTTGCCTCAAGAGCACTGCCCTTCTCTTGGGCCCTGGCACCACCATGGCCCCACTCGCACTCAGACCCCACAAATTCACCCAGTTCAAGGAGGAGGATCCCATCTCCCACCGAGCATCCTAAACAAGGCACGCTGGGGGTGCCACACCACCACACACCTCCCCAGAAATTATTTACTCAGTAGATAAAAGTACCTGCGTGGTGCCAGCGCAGAACAGGAGGACATCAGCAACAACTGCAGGGCATCATCCCCCCAGGCAACAGGGCTGCACCAAGGGCTGTGCGCTCCCCCCCCCAGAAGGGTCTATGAGGTCAGGCTGGCCCCCAGCTGGCGGGCATCAGCCCATCGGCAGCCTGGGCCAAACCTTGCTCACCTGCTGCGGGCGCAGATGCTGTGAATCTCTGGGGTGCTGAGTGGTCCCATGCACCCCATACACCCCACACAGTGACGCTGTGTGGCAGATGGGGGCCCAGCAAAGGGCAGGGTGTGCACACAGGCTGCCCCAGGGACCCCAAAAAATAGTCAGGGACAATAAAATAAACTTTCCCACGCATCTGCTTCCTCCCTCCCCCCAACGCACCTTTTTAATACAGAACAGATCGGGGTAAAAAACAGCTCCTTTCGCACGAGACCCCATGTCCCCGGGGAGTCGCTGCTGTGCAAGCACTAGAAAGACGGAGGAGCCACCACTTGCTGTTTGCCATTTATTGTAGTGGAGAGAAAAATAACAGGCACAAGAGGCATTTTGCATAACTTAACAGAAAATAAAACTTTCCCTCTGCTCTTCACAGATCAATGGCCAAAATAATTTCCTACACACAGCTATTTTTTTGAGCTAACAGTTTGGTGTATCGATAAAATCCTGGGTTTCCTCTCATACGCTCCAATAGTTGATCTGAAACCCAAAGCTCAGGCCCGGGAGGCTCCTTCGCTGTTTAACACAGCTCCTGTCACCATTTGCCCATGGGGAGGGTGAGCGCCAGGTTCACCCCGCAGTGCTCCCAGGAAGGATTTTCGCAGCCGGGGTCTGGCTGGGGATACTGAGGAGGCAGAGGCAGCGCCAGCAGCCTCAGTCCAGGGCCAACGAGGGGATCTTGCAGACGAAGGGGAAGGCTCTGCCACAGGCGTTGTCGTTCCAGGAGCGCAGCGCTACCCCCCCAAAAAAACCAAGGTGTTAGCCAAAGAATGTCACAAGGTAACCATGCACGCCCTCAGAACCGGGACCTCCTGCTGTTGAAGGAGGCTTTCCCTGGGTGTGCTTCCATTTGTGCTGCTCCCAGCTGTGCCCCCTCCCAGTACCCCATCTCCGTCCTGGGGATGCTGGCTGGGATGCCCAGCCCTGGCTCGAACATGGTAGTGGGGAGGCAGCTGCAAGCACAGCCCCGTACCCCACAGAATATCAACAGGCTGCCCACGGATGGGGCGTTCAGGTATGTCCAGGAGGTCTGGATACACCTGCCCAGTCTCACTGGCAATGAGGGTGTGAAGTGGGATTTTTGCACCAGTAGGGTCTTGCCCTGCTTCAGCGAGATGCTTCTGGCCTAAGGGAGGGAGGGAAAAGCTGGCAAACCGATGGGTGTTTCCACGGGCCTCCCATGTGGGAGGGGAAATAGGAAAATTTGGCTAAATTCAGTAATTCTTCAAAGTGGATGATGCTCCCCTCCTGCTGCTGCTATGGGAGAGGGAGATGGGCTGTGAGCAGAGGGAAAGTGGGTGTCTCTGTGTGTGCATGTATGTATGTGGTGAAAGAGAAAACACATCCCTTCTCTGCAAAGAAAAAATAATAATAAAAAACTAAAATGCAAATCCTCAGCCACCAGCAACCTCTTCAGACAAGCACAAACCACAGTGGATTGAATTTACGGACATGCAAATAAGACTTAAGGCGCCCTCCATGCCCGGCGCGGCACTCACCACTGCTGTGCCTGTACCAGATCTGCACGCAGTCCTCCTCCTCTGGGATGGAGTGGATCCCATCGTCAGGCTGACTGCCGTCCCAGTAGTGGTAGTCATAGGAGGAGCCGTCTGTCCACTCGAAGTGACCCTCCTGGTGCAGGGCAAGTGGAGAAAAGTGGCATTTGCAGGGGGTGGCCCCACTCCTGCACAGACCCCATCCCCATCCCCAGCTCCCCACAGCCCGGCGACACAGGGAGCAGCTGTCACCACTCAGCAAAGGCCAAACTGTTCATTTGGGTTTTACAGCTGAAAACTCACCCTGGGGAGCCCCATTTGCAGTGGTCTCACCAGGGGAAGTGCAGAAATTAAACCCATATATCTTTTAATATGCCCAATTCTGTGTTCCTTTTCCTTTTTCTTTTCCATTCCTTTCCCAATATCTAAAAAACATTTGCTGGCATGGGACTGTTCTCCTGACGGTCTCGATTCTTCTTTGTTACATATTAGACTATGTATTTCCAACACGTCAGCTTTGAAAAGTTGCAGTGGTACAATACTCTTTCCATTAATCCATTAATAAAATATGATGTGAATAATTAGTAATTATTAATCTATTAATTCTAGTAACACTTTTCTTGTAAGAGCAGACTGGAAGGGGTGAAACGACAACTTTCCTCCATGCGCAACAGACCCTACTCCACCACCCAGTTGATGGGGCTACAAGGAGTGAAGAAGAAAACCAAGTGGCTTTCCAGGGGGAAAAAGCAGGAAAGTGACTTTTCCAAAGCCATTTCCCACATCATTACAGGAGCTCTCACCTGCCGCAGGTCGTTGAGCCCTGTCCAGATGTCAGTGGGGATACCCGGCACACGGCTGTTCACCAGGTCGTACACGAAGACGTTTTCTTCCCAGCTAGCAAAACAGAGCAATACGGAGCCACTGAGGGGCTATGTCAGGCAAATGGTCAGGCATGACTCTACACATTCACCCTACGGCATGGCCAAATGGGTCCCCCTCCTCTAATTGCTGTTGATTACTTTCCCAGGTCTGCACAAGAGGTGCATGGTGTGGATGAGAGCTGGGGAGAGGGAGTGGGGGAAAAAGCCTGTGTAACCACACTGCATTTCTATCCCATTTTCAAGAGTAAAAAATGCAGTTTGGGGAAATTTAGGGAATACTACATCAGTTTTCCTGCCAGGCCAGGAAAAGGTATTTTGTGCGTCCAGTGCATCAGACTTGACGCAGTCGCTGCTGCAGAGGGACACTTAGGCTGGGACACGAGCCTGCAGCTGGCACAGAGGCTGTGCTGTAGGAATGGGACTTCATCCCCATTTTCCTTCTTTCCCAGGCCGTGTCAGGGTGGAACAGTGTGTTTCTGCACCCCTCACCTGTGGATGGAGGCCAGCTTGGCTGATCTGATGCCAATGGAGAACTCAGCACAATAGAGGTCAGCTTCAGCCCAGGTTTTGTTGATGGGGAAGTACCGGTAGCAATGGCCTTCGTACTCTGTCCAGAAGAGTGGGCAGGAGTAGGCGTGGACGGGCTCCGGCATGGCTGGGGACAGAGCAGAGGACATTCAGCAGCTGGTGGCAAAGCGGCAGAGCCGGCAGCTGAGCTGGCTGTGGAGACAGCACTGCCCAGCTCCACTCCCCCACCTCACCCAGGCAAAAAACGACCAGCCACGTGCATGGAAAACCCAACTGCTGCAGAAGCCATGCAAAAGTTTGCAAAAGCCAAAACGCATTTTGCAAAAGCTGTGGGTTTCTTTGTTTTAGCATCTGCCTAAATCAGGAGGGACACTTCAAGCAAGTTTGACATCGTTTTCACAGAATCACAGCATGGCAAGTGTTGGAAGGGACCTCAGGAGATCATCTAGTCCAGCCCACCTGCTAAAGCAGGTTCTCCTAGAGCATGTTACACAGGACTTCATCCAGGCGGGCTTTGAATATCTCCAGAGAAGGAGACTCCACAACTCCCCTGGGCAGCCTGTTCCAGTGCTGTCACCTTCAAAGTAAAGAAGTCCATAGTGGATGCAAGGAGAAGGGAAAAGGCATGTGCAATGTGTTCAGCAGAGATTTGGAGCTCAGGAGGGCAAAGCTGGGGTGCAGGAGGGCTGTTACTGATGCATGGGGCTGTAAGAGGATTTCTGCATCATTGCATGGAGAGCAAAGTGGAGCCCAGAGAAAGACCTGGGCAGGTTGCATGGGCAAGATCCCCAGGGTGACTGCATGGTTTGGGGGTCTGGGTTTTTGCTTTATACATGCTGCTTTCATCAACAGCCTGAAGAAATGAAAAGCCAGAAGCTGATTGACACCTGAAAAATGAAACTTTTCATCTGGAAATTCAAACTTTTATCATTTTGTTTGTTGTTCTAATGAAAACCAGGCTTTTTCTTTTTCCCAAGGAGGGCAAATTCCATGAAAATTTTCATTGAGTTGAAAGTAGAGATGGAAAATTTTAGATGAGCCTTATGGGGAAAGTCCCTAGTGAGGTTTCAAAGGAAGCAAGGCAATTTAAAATTGAATCCAACCAGAGCTGGCAGAGAAAACCGAGTTCTAGTGGAATTGATGTGCCCAGATCTTTGTGCCTGCATGGGGAAGGGCCGGTGGCAGAGAGGGAGTTGCCTTCCCAGCTTGCCATCCTTTTGGTGCAGGGAGCTGAGAGGAGCTGTACTGCATCCAGCTCTCCGCTCCAGCTCAGGCTGTGAGCATCCTTCCAGAAGAAATGCCCGTGTCGCCAGATCTACAAAGCGTAGAAGCTGTAGGTGATGTCTGTGAGTGCTGAAAGTCGCTGAGTGGGGAGGAGTGGCCCTTGTGGCCAAGAACAGCCTTGTGCTGCGGGGAGCTGGACCCCAGGTGGGATAATCTACTGTTTTTCCTTGAAGTCAGTGATTTACACAGCTCAGCCCCAGAGCTGAGAGCCAGGATAAACCTGATCCCATCACCTTCCAGCTCGCATAGTTGCTGGAAACACAACCACGGCTGCTGACTGCAGGTGCTGCTGCTTGGTGCTAGCACCCATCCCAGAGGGGCTGGAGGTGCCTTTGGCTCCCCTGTACCCCGTGCCTGGGCACCTCTCCTGTTCTCCAGGACCTTTCGTAGATGATGGAGAGTGGCTCAGCAATGACATCTGCCAGCTCCTTCAGCACTCGTGGGTGCATTCCATTGGGACCCATGGATTTGTGGGTGTCCAGCTTCCTTAAAAGATCCCTAACCTGATCTACCTCAATCGAGGGAAGGTCGTCCTTTCTCCAGGCAGAGGGTGCTTAAAAAAAAGGCACTGACATTTGCTACTGGGGAAACCGAGATAAAGGCTCCTCTCGCCTCTATCAGGCACTGCTGGAGCCACCGTGCCGGGACAGGAGCTGACAGCCAGGGGCTGCAGGGTTATGGCCACACTCTGCCCTCCTGTCCTTGCCTCCTGCAAGGCCAACTTGCACCTCCTCCCCCTGAGCAACCCCCTCAGCACCCTCCTCTGCCCCTGGCCCGCGCACGTACACACACGTTGGATTTCAGCCCCATAAATAGCCAGGCGCGGCACGCGTGCCGCCGGAGCGGTGCCAGCCTATCTGCCTCCCGCCGCCAGATAAGAGCGGGGGCTCCATGGGGCTGCTCCTCCTCCCCCGCCACTTGTCAGCACAGCGGGGAAGTCACCCCAAGAGAGGCCATTTGGGGGGGGGCAGGACGCATTTCTGGAGCCTCTGCAGTTGCTGCTGTGCAAATGCTGCAACTGCGTTAACACTTCCCTCTGACCCCCTCCACATCAGGGGGAGGGCGCAGCTCACAGGCACAACACACCACCCAACACCAACGCACGCGTAACCCCCAAATCTCGTGGCACACATAGGCTTAACTCTCTTAGCTGCTGGGTTTTGAGCCTTGGGGAATTGCCGGATCCCCCAGAGCCAGTTCCCGCATCCCCGTGGGTTCCTGCTGGCGCAAGCAGGGAGGCGAGCAGGGGGTTACAGCACGCATAAGATGCTGTGAAACTATCCAGGCAGGTAACAGGCTCAAAGCTGGAGAGGTCAGGGTGGTGCTACAGGGCCTTCGGTACGGAGGGGCTGGAGGGAATGGCCTTCCCTGGGGGTGGGGAGAGCAAAGCCCTGCCAGCGGCAGCGCAGGACGTGGGAGCAGCGAGGGCAGCATCAGCATGGGGAAAAGGAGAGGTGAGGTGGCTGCAGAAGCATTTGTGGAGATGAATCCTTCCCTGCCCTGGCACTGGCAGCTCTGGGCGATAATTTCATATTTCATCAGCTCTTTCCACCGGGGGATCTCTGAGTGTTCTACAAACACCCACCAGTCAGTTCCCGGGTCCCTCCTGTCACACACCTCTCCCAGGTGACAAAACACAAATCCAAAGAGCCTTTTTTTCCTCCTGAACAAGGCACAGAGGCCAACCCGATTGCCAGTAGCACCCACTGTGCCTAACCCTGCAGGGCTGTGGTCCCATCACCCCTGTCTCAGGACCCCCAGCCGCTCCCACCACAGCCCTGCACCCCACAGCAACAAACCCACCGAGAGCAGGGAAGGGTTCTCCCACCCTCCTCTGCGCTAGTTATGGGCTGCGGAGGGAAAAAGATAAGGCACACTGGGCTGGAAAAAAAGAGGAACAGCTTTATGGGAGGGTGGCCAAGCCCCAGCCAGCCCAGTGGCAATGCAGGGTTCAGCTCTCGGATTCCCACCCAGCCAGCCTTGTCTTTGGAAAAATCTCAGAGTAGCCCTAAAAAATGAAAATTGTTGCTATTATAGCAATAGAGCAGAAGGACTGGGAACACGGAAAGCTGCTGGGATTTCCTGGGAGCCAAGCCCTCCTCCCCACATGGGATCGGCCAGGGGTCCCAGCCACACTGACATCGAAGCAGAGCGAGGGCAGAGACTCAAACCCACGGGACCAGGCTTCAGCTTCATCGCCAGGTTGCAAATGAGGCACGTCCCCCCAGTCTGGGACAGGGCTGGGATTTGGTCCTGGCTCACAATGACTCCAGGTCGCTGCTCCCCCCTGCCGAGGGCACCCCGGGGGTCTGTGGCAGATGGGCACCGCCAGCTCCCCCAGCAACTGGGGGTTTATTATAGAGGATGTGAAGCACCTTGACGAACTCTTCACCTCTAGCAGCATGGTGGCAAAATTCACAGGGCTTAACCCAGCAGCATCCCCAGCAATCGGGGCCCTTCACTCCCAAGTGCTAATTACAGCGGGCGTCCCAGTGCCCTGGCTCCAAGCTGGGCCTGTCCGTGCCCCAATCATCCAGGAAAATCACCCTCGTTTTGTTCAGAGCAGCCGAAACAGAGTCAGAGATGGAGACAGTCCTTCTTTGTTATTCCGTACTGCTTCCCATTAGGTAGCATTAATTTGACGAGCTTCAGCGAACCAGAGGTGCCTGAAGGAATTTAAGGTTAAATATACTAAAGAGGAAAATATGGGAGGTCAGCGTTTAATTAGCATCTTTTCTGTTAGGTCAGAATCAGAGGCTTTGGCTGTCTCTTTGGAGGAGAACTATTGCTCCCAGTTTTACAGGCAGGAACAACTGGGGGTGCTGCTTTATCTGGGGTCTTTGGGGGCTATTTTTAGCAGAAAGACGTAAGAAATTGGATGTATGGTTGTGAGTATGTGAGCCTACTCATGGCTCTGGAGGAAAACCTCAAAACCCGAGCCAGCAGCTGCTAATGGTATTTGGATTTAAAAAGGGACAGGGAAAGCATTTGGAGGTTATTTAGACCAGATCCTCACTTTTAAGCACCCCAGCAAACACCACCCACAGCAGCATCAGCTCATCCGCGCAGGGCAGGAGCAGCGCAGTCAGTTCATCCATTTGTTCCCAAATTCCTGGTGAAAAATGATGGCAAGAATCCTTCCTCCCTTTGCTTATTTACAGTGCAGCAGCTTTAAGGTCGGGGCCGTGTTTTAACTCAGCACCAGCAAAATAGATGTCCAAACTTGGCTGAGGATGAGATCCATATCAGGCAGCTGTTACTAACTCAGAAAGCTGGAAGACAGTAATTTGGGGTCAGAAAAACAGTTTTGTACTCTCTGGATTTGTGTTAGTATCAACAAAACTGGAGTCTTTTTATTTATTTACTAGCTGAGACCTGCTGCAGAACCACCAGGAAAATCACTTGTCAAAATCTTGCAGAAGCTGGCACTGCTCTGCCAAAAAAGTTTCACTTCCCCAAGTGGCCGTTTTCCAGCTGGAAATAATTAACTAAGAAAATCCCAGCCAGTTTCATGCATCTTTTTACTCCAGGATGCTACTGAAAAAGATAAAATACCGACTGTGTGACTCCCACTGACTCAAGCAGGGAAGAGCAGGTTTTTTCCTGAACAGCTTCACCCCAAGGTGCAATGCTGCCTCACCTCCTGCCATCTGCAGATTTCAGATACGAAGTTTGGGGCTAGGACAAGGTTGGCAAGAGATGTCTGTGCAGGGAAGACTCCCGGGGATACTGCAGCTCCATCAGAGCATTCTGGACGGCCCATCGGATCAGGTCAGTGCTGGCAGCAGATGCTCTTCTCGCTGCAGAGCATTGAAGGGCTCCATTTCATCAACAGCTGATG